AAATCTAAGCTTTACGAAGAACGCCTTCATTCACTAGACCTTTACCCATTAGAGTATAGGCGTCTTAGAGGTGATTTATTAATGGCTTATAGTATTCTTAACACTTCTGGACATTCTCTTAAACACCTACTTAAGCTTAGTTCGAATAATAACCTAAGGGGTAACACCCAGAAACTGGAAACTCAACACAGCAAGACGGAATGTAGACACAACTTCTACTCCTTAAGAGTTGTCAAATGCTGGAATTCGCTGCCGTCCATCGCTTCCAGGTTTTCAATGTTGGTCTAACATTGACCGATCCATGACTTCAATGGAAGTCGACACCTTACTGACGAAAATGAACATAAATCATTCATTTACTGGTAGCCCAAATCACCGTAAGCAGTATTTGGAGCTGTTTGAATTATATCGATTGAAAAATAACATGACCTTTAGTTTAAAATGGTTCGGTATTGCAGTGATTCCCGACCGTTGCTGCTAGGCAGCCATAGACACAGTCTATCTCTGACCATCTTTAAATACAGGACCAACTATAGCATCTTTCCAATTCCTAGGGAGTTGAGTGTGGGGAAGGAAGATGTAGAAGAGCATCTTGATTGGCCCTGAAATATTGTCCGCAAGGGGTATTGTTAACAATACTCGTACAATAGACTTTGCTGAAATAGTCTGATAGTCTCAGATTTGACCCAGCTAGTATATCTGAATTTTCGTGTAACGGTAATGGAGGAATACCATCACTACGTTTTGTTCTTCGTTTGATGCACGAAAACAAGCGTTATGGACAGGTACAGCTATCATTTGTCAACTGTCCCTCATAAATGGTACGGCATCTAGCTATGCCTTTTTACATATATTTCGGTATTCACACTTAAATGATTTGTGGCCTGTTGACAAGAATACATTTTAGAAGCGTTTCCGGAGCCTCAGCAGCTTTCGGCTTTCATTGTCCATCCATGGAGGGCAATGTGATAGCCTACCTATTTACCATAGGATATACGGTGATGTTACGAATTAGAATGTAGCTTTAAACTTATCCCATTCGTCTTCGATTGATACATCTGCATTGATCGACCAGTCTGTTGAGATAGTACAGTCTCTGATTGCTAGAATGTTAGCTCACCAGATATTGGGAAAGACTGAAGCAGATATGCATTGCATACTGTGTTCGAAACCTAAATTACGGTGCAACGTGATCACTATTTGATAGTGAGAGGCGTTGAATATCAATGACATCACAGTGGTGTGTAAAGACAAGGTCCAGCAATGACGGTTTGTGTCCCAAATCAATGTGTCGGTTTAAAGATACATTGTACAAGTGCATACTAATGATTGGTAGAAGGTTGCTATCGAAACATTCACCTGAAGTTGTAAGCTCTATCCAGCTGATATGCAGTGAGTTGAAATCTCCAACGGTGAGAAAACATTCAACTTCACTCCAAGAATAGATATAACATAAGATAAAGTCGTTAGCAAGACAAGATGGACTACTGTATATTCCACCTATTGTCACTCGTGTCTCCTGCGGTTTATTACTCTATCACTTTTAATACAGATATACCCTGCAATGATTGGAGGACAGTTTGTATCTCAGTCAGTCAGTAACAACGTAGAACTTCGTACGTACGTACATCAGTTCGAGTTGCCACACCACCTTAACACAGAGATGCAGTTGTCGATTCAAATCCCGTAGTGGTAGAGGTAGCAAGAGTGTAAGCAGTGATCGGGAAGATTAGGGTTTGGAGATGTTATTTAAAGAGTATAATTCAGTGAAATAAATTTGGAAAGAGGAAAAAAGGGACATGAAGAATTCAGAAGATTAGAATTCGGGAGAACACAAAGAGTGGATGCACCTGCGCCATTGCAAACGATTTTCAGCCATGTCATTCAGGGTCTCTAACCATCGGTTGCTATCATCTCGCGGTCCCCAACCAGGTAGTCTATACCTATCAACATGACTCAGACCACTTGTCAGTGACTTCATGGACTTGTGCCATGTTTTGGTCTGGCCGCCCCTAGCTTTCTTCCAATCTACTCCTATACCACTGAACATCGCACGTCGAGGCAGTCGGTCGTTGGGCGTACGTAACACGTGTCCCAGCCATCTCAACTGATGAAGTTTCACTACTTCGTCAATTGATTTGCCATCCTTACCTAGTACCCATTTCCTAACAACTGTGTTACTTAATCGATGGTCCCATGATATACGAGCAATGTTTCGATGACACCTATGATCGAATACTAGTAACTTACGAATATCCTCTACTCTTACCGGCCATGTTTCACTGCCATAAAGTAGGACGGGACGTACTGCTGCACAGTAAACCCGTCCTTTGGTAGACGGATATCTCGCCTACGCCCTAAATGACGCAAGTTGGCAAAAGCTAGTCGAGCCTTCTGTATCCGTGCTGATATTTCGTCACACACCAGACCACAAGGGCTGATGAGACTTCCAAGATAAGTGAAGCGATCGACACACTCAACTACTTCACTCACTACCATTAGTTCGGGTGTCGATGTAACCCCATCCTGAAGCAACATTTTGCATTTCGAGGGAGAGAATCGCATCCCGAACATGCTTGCATTGTTGCTTAGAGTTTGTATCTACAATAAGCTACGTTTCTGTGACAACAATTATATCGCGACTTAACTTGTACACCATCAAACTTAGCTCGTACGTTTCATTTCTAAGACTACGAGCGTTCGTGTAGCACACATTTAAGGTGTTTTAAGAATCACTAATTCTACCCATACAGGTCTCGGAAGAATTGGCTTCTAATACCTGACTACCCAAAAACTCTAAACCCTTTAGTGAAATTTACCACTGAAATATCTCCTAGCAGTACATGATGGCGGATTCAACTAAATCCAAATTGTGTGTATGTCTTATGGTAGTCATTTCTCTACTAAATTAAGAATGGATCTGACTTCTTTAAAAGTGTTGTTCATGGCTTTTGATCGTGTTGTCATTTCCTACCTGTTAACAACTAGAAGCTTTACTTTGGTTGTTTAACGATACGAGTCATTTGATTCGAGCAAATTACGATAATATTCGATGAGACAAAATTCTTAGAATCGTGACTACCAATATCCAGTGGTATTTTAGTCTAATTGTTTCAAAAGAGATTTATCTACTGCATGTTGCGCGGTTGGTTGTTGGGCTCGTTCCGTAAGAGCACTTACTACACTGACACATTCTTCTCTGTCATTACCCATGTTACTAATTTAGCCCTCATCAACATTTTGCTGGCCAACGCCAGACGGCTAATTGTCTATTGGACGAGTAGTGCTTTACTCGAACAATAAAGCATGCAAACCCAATGGGAGGTGAGCTTTCAGCACCTTTTATGTGCGATGGGATTTAAACGAGTACACATCTCATGGAGCTACGTTTTGCACTCATTATATTGGATTCCATCTTCTACAATGAATAAGCGATTTGGCTCTTCACATTTGAGAGCAGAGCCGACCATTTTAAAATGATGTAAAGGGGAGAAATGCAAATGGTTCAAATGGTTGTGGACGGAATAGAAGCTTTCGCTTAACAGGCTTCCGTGTCTAGTAGCAGGGGATCACCAAATCCTCCAGGCAGGAACCTAGGTATGTTAACAATAAAAGAGGAAAAGAAATTGGTAAATCATAGTATGATACTGTCCTTGGTCCTTAAGAATAGGTCAAGTTGCCTCTTGAAGGACTCCTGAGAAGTCGCTTGGACTAGCTCGGCCGGCAGCGAATTCCAGCATTTGACAACTCTTAAGGAGTAGAAGTTGTGTCGACATCCCGTCTTGCTATGTTGAGTTTCCAGTTTCTGGGTGTTACCCCTTAGGTTATTATTCGAACTAAGCTTAAGTAGGTGTTTAAGAGAATGTCCAGAAGTGTTAAGAATACTATAAGCCATTAATAAATCACCTCTAAGACGCCTATACTCTAATGGGTAAAGGTCTAGTGAATGAAGGCGTTCTTCGTAAAGCTTAGATTTGAGTCCTCGAACTGATTTCGTGGCTCGCCGTCGGATACGCTCCAAAGTGACCTTGTCCTTTTGGAGTGAGGGGGGAGTACTATGTTTCCGTACTCTAAATGGGGACGGATAAAACTATTGAAGATTGTATGGAAAGTTCTTCCGTCAAACTGGCCAAAAATGCGCTTCAACGTTACCAGTGCAAGGTTTGCTCGGAAGGCATTTTTGTCACAATTAGCGTAAGACTTTAAATCATGGGGCACCAGAACTCCTAAATCTTTCTCGACTTGGGATACTACTAGAGAGGAGTTTCCTAAGTTGTAACTGTAGTCTGCGACATGTTGCAGATGGACTACTTTACACTTTGAAGTATTAAAGGTAAGTCCGTTATCATCTGCCCAACTTTGAAGTCGAGTCAGATCCTCCTGAAGTGGCTGTGTATCGTCTTGGTTGCGTATCTCTCTCCAAAGTTTCACGTCATCGGCAAAAAGTAATAAGTCTGACGTTACCTGTTGAGGAAGATCGTTTATGTGGATCAAGAAGAGAAGAGGCCCTAATACTAAACCCTGGGGAACCCCACTAGGACATTCCACAAGATAATCACTAGTGTGATAATCAACTAAAAAAGGTAACACAAAATGGATTTGAAGAAAAGTTCCAAACCTTAACCAGAATAAATCAAGTCAAAGTTGACCAAGTATAGTTTGATGCGATAAATGCACAGAAGCAAAGATAATTCACAAGTTCGAAATCACTGCCTTTAGAAGGCTGAATTGCATGAAGCAAGAGTGAATCTGATGCTATATGGATAGAGACTTAAGACGAGTGGAGTCCTGAGAGATACGATCGTAAATATTCTTACTTTAAAGTAAGAATATATATATAATTATATCAACGAATATTCGTTGACAATATTGCTAAGATTTGTATCTAAGCTTTATTGGTTGGATATACATAAGTTACTTCTGTCCACCTTACGCAAACAAATAATATCAGCTCAGTGAACGTCTTAAGCTAGGAACCACGATGTTACGAACATACTTACTGAGAATATCAAGAAGAAATACTCATATTTTTGAAGCCCACCGTCCTTGAAATATTTTTGGGACAACCAATCAAATCCAAGTCCGGTGAATATTGATTTCACACTCATGGATCAACAGTGAATTCTGGAACTCATTCGAAAGCTTACGCTACTTATAGTAATTTTCGGTTTGGAAAGGACATGATGCTTGATGGCCTGTGTTAGTACTGGCGATGGTGGTCTCTCAGTTGCTCCAACTTTCTTTTGAAAGAGTCGACGTATGGAGCCTCAACCACGTGCTTAGGTAACGAATTCCACTCGTAGGTCTTTCCAGCATTTAGATGATGAAATGTTTAGATTATTATACCCGATTTACATGCGACCACATTTAGAATATGTGATTCAAGCAGCGAGTCCTTGTTTCAAGTATGAAGCAGAGATGCTGGAAAGAGTCCAACGACGAGGTACTAATATGGTACAAGGTCTATCTGACCTATCTTATGAAGACAGATTGAGACACCTCTACTTATTTCCGTTATCTTGCCGTAGAGTACGGGGTGATCTAATATTGCCTTCTCGTATACTGAACGATGACCTTGGTATTAACATGTCTTACCTTTTAGTTCCGTCTAGGACTGATCACTTGTGAGGACATTCGAAGAAAGTTCAAAAACCGAGATCAAATCGTTAACATCTGGAGTTTCCTTTCTCGCACCCAGTAGTGAATTACTGGAATTGTCTGCCAGAACACGTAGTATCATCACCTCCCGTTGATATATTCAAAACGAGATTGGACCTCCACAGTATTACAAACTGCAAGGATTAATATAGGCCGATAAACCTTATGCTTATTACTGAAGACTGATGAGAAAGTCGGTAGTCAGCTGATAAATAATTTGTTCTGGGCTTGTGAACTTTTTTGAAGTGTCCTCGTAAATTCTCTGTTTTAAAAGACAAGAAAAATGAGGGCATATCAGGTGCAAATTTATCACTAAGCAGTTTGAAAACTGTAATCAAGTCGCCTCTAGTTCTACGATAAGACAGTGAGAAAAGGTTTAGCTTGGCCGGTCGAGCATCATACGGAAGCTTCACTATTCCGGGGATTAGCTTATTTGCAGCTCTCTGAACCTTTTCCAAAAGCTCACTGTCTTTTTGAAGCGGGGGCTAGCCGCTTGTATGCAGTACTCAAGTTTAGGACGTACAAACACTATTCAAAGTTAAAAGCGTTTTAGCGTCGACATGACTAAAGGACCTATGTATTGACCATAAGGTTCTAAAACCTTTGGCGGCTATTGCACGGCAGTGTACAGTAGTCTTTAAGTCTTGGCCAACGATGACTTCTAAGACATTATGTGTCTGGACAACAGGTAGCTCAGTGTTATTCATCGTGTATGTATCTGTACCTTGATGACCGATATGTATCACAACACACTTGGAAGTATTTATCGGCAACTGCCAGGCTTGAGGCCATTCAGATAATTTCTCCAGGTCATTTATGAGTTCTAAGCTATCACCCTTACATCGTATCGTTCTCCATATCTTGACACCGTCAGCATATAGCAAGACCGATGATGATAAGAGACGAGGAAGGTCATTTACATACAAGAGGAATAGCACTGGCCCCAAAACTAAACCCTGGGGCACTCCACTAAGCACAGTTTCCCAGCTAGATAACTTTGAGTTCACCCGTACTCTTTATTGGCGCCCAACTAGGAAGTCTTTCATCCACATCAATAGATTGCCTCCAATTCCGACATTTCTTAGCTTATATAACAGCCGGTTGTGCGGAACTTTGTCAAAAGCTTTACTGAAATCAATGTAGGCTACGTCTACAGGTAGCTTTTGGTCCTTAAGAGCGCACCAGCTTTCACGAGCGACTTATAAGCTAGTGAGACAAGAATAACCTATTCTGAAGCCGTGCTGCTTCTCCGAGAGAATCCGGTTTTTATCAAGATACTTAAACAGCTCCTTCCGAATAATCTTTTCTAAGATTTTAACAACCACGCTAGTTAGGCTAACGGGTCAGTAATTCTCAGGTTTATGTTTCGTACTTGTTTTGAAGACAGGATTTATTATGACTTTCAGTCTTTTGGTAAACGACCCTGCGTTACAGATAGATTAAAGCATATACTCAAAGGGTTCGCAGCGAAGTTAGATAATTCCTTCAGTAGCCTAGGATGCAATTCATCGGGCCCCGTGGATTTGCCTATGTCAAGCTTATTTAGCAGACCAAAGACATCGAGTTCTTTAATGGTCACGCTATCCAGTGTATGTATGGGGGGATCTGTATACGCTGACGGGAAGGGCGCTTCTATGGTATATACGTTGCTAAAGTAGTTCGAGAACACTTGAGCCTTTCTAAAGTCGTCCTCCACTAATGATGAAGCAGTACTGTCTCCCCATAGAGCAGGAATATTTCCTTTTCCCCTTGTCCTTTGGTTTATATGGGAATACAAGCGTTTAGGACATTCTATGGATTCCTTAACAAGTTTTTCTTCGCACAACTTCCTAGACTTAAGGAGGGTCGAGGCACAGGTATTCCGAGCTTTTCGATACTGAGATTTTGTCTCATCAGTCCCCAGTAAACTAAATCTATCCCACATGGTTAAGGCTCCATCCATCGACTCTTTCACAAGAAATTTGTAGCAACTGGGAGACCACTGTTGGCACGACTAATACATGCCATTAGGTCTCCTGTTCTTTCCATACTTAAACTGAATGTTTAAACGTAGCTCCTCACACACCTTAGCTCATAACGTACCTTCATGGTAAAAAGAAAGCGTAAAATAGCTGAAAATTACAACGCTTTCTATATTTTGAAAACACGACTGTTTCCGTTTTTGATAGTTGAACCCATGCATGCGACTGAAATTAATCCTTTACTAGAATATTCTGTTCGTTCTTTGTTGACGAACTCGCCTGCTGTTTGCTTTTAGTTGTCCTGATTTGATTTGGAAAAATAAAAATATTTCCTCAAAATCATTTCATAGTACCTTGTGCATCATAATTAAATGGCCTCTCAATTTAATATGGTCTAACCTATGAAGCCGCTCATCGTAAGTTAGGCCGAAGACCTCTGGAATTGTGGTCCTCTGTACTCTGTAAAAGATCTGGGTCGGCTTCTTAACGGGAGTATGACACGTAAGGTGACGCAGTTCCGGTAGGCAAAGGCGAAATGTGGTTTCTCGCGTATGAATGTTTGTAATGTACTGGAAATCTTTACCCTTATAAGGTTGGATCACAGGATGAGTAATATTGGAGTTAGACGTAGAGTATAGGGTACACCGGTTATTCAGGTCATCAATCTACATCAGTTGATATGATTAAGCTATGTACTGCAAATGCTTAGCTGCTACTTATCTCGCAGTTCAGTATGCAGAAAAGCCTGGAGAAGGTCGATAAAGACGTAGCATCAGTCCCTGAATCTATTTACTGGTGATCTGTGCTATCTCGACAGTTGGAAATTTCATGGTTTCGTCTTACCTAATAGTCATAGTAAGTGGTTGTAGACGTCGGCTGACATGAATTAAAGTGGTTTGGTTGGATTTGTTCTCCATCTTCTAAATATTAAATTAGTTGTCACACCTAGTTCCTCATTTTTTTTGGCTTTATTTATTCCTCTTAAGTTGTATTTTGTTATGTTTAGCACTTGTTTCTTTTTAATTCCCTCGCTGTGCTGACATGAGGTTTTGGAATTTAAGCCGTTGCATAGGCACCCCGAGTCATATGCATGACTGACGTAGTTGATAGGACTTATGGAAAAGTTATCACTTTTATAGTCTCTTCAATCGGAAGTACTTGTAAGAAGTTATTCCGAGCTATCAACATAAAAAGCCTAAATCAATGGGTAAAATTAGGCAAAATCGGTTTCATTCGTTTGAATGTATTTGTTTCTCATCTTTCTGTAAATTTCCACCATATCAACATCTTGTTCTTTCTCGCATCTGTTTAAATAATTATTCACCTGGTCATTTCGTCTATCTCCTATTTCCCAGATTGACCCCTGCCAAGTTTTGCGCTTTATCCACTTGTTTTTCTGTCCTTGCCTTCTCTCCATTATCTTAATCCCTTCAAGTGTGTTACGAGAAAATCAGGCTGACTTCAGACATGGTCGTGGCTGCATCGACCACATATTCACCATTCGTCAGGTTGTAGAACACAGGTATACCTATCGGCGTCCGAAAATCGTGGTATTTCTCGATTTAAAAGCAACATTTCACTCCGTAGACCGCGAGATTCTGTGGCAGTGTCTGTCATTGAAAGGTGTACCTCAGAAGTGCATAAACCTTGTAAAGGCTCTTTACTCGAATACTACTAGTCGAGCCAAAGCTTATGGCTTTTGCAGTCTCAAGTGGTGTCCGTCAAGGCTGTCCACTTTCTCCATTTTTGTTTAACTTCATCATAGACCTATTGCTGGAAATAACATTCTCATCGACTGAATTCTCGGGTATTGATCTCCTTCCAGGAGGTCCACTTATCGATTTAGAATACGCAGATGACATAGTCCTGTTTGTTGAAGACGCTGATAAAATGCAGAGTCTTTTGGTAACACTAAGCAACAATGCCAGAATGTTTGGAATGCGCTTCTCTCCCTCTAAATGCAAGTTGTTGCTTCAGGACTGGCGTACGTCAGTCAACACATGAATTAAGGATAAGGAGTGGAGTAGTCGAACTCGTTGACAACTTATCTTGGAAGTCTAATCAGTACTGATGAGTTGGTGACTGACGAAATCTCAGCACGGATTCGAAAAGCTCGTTTGGCTTTTGCCAACTTACGTCACCTATGGCGAAGGCGAGATATCCGTCTATCAATAAAAGGACGAGTATACTGCGCAGCAATCCGTTGTGTTTTAATTTACGGCAGCAAAGCATGGCCATTAAGAGTAGAAGACACTCGTAATCTACCAGTATTTGACCACAGATGTCTTAGAAATATTGGTGGCGTCTGCTGGGATCACCGGGTAAGTAATAGTGAGGTTAGATGCAATGTATTAGGGAATGGTGGTAAATCACTTGATGAGGTTGTGAATCTTCATCGACTGAGATGGTTGGGCCACGTGTTACGTATGCCTGGACACCAATTACCACGACGTGCAATGCTAACCGGTGATGTTCGGGATGGTTGGAAG